AAAAATAAATAAATCTTTTAAAAAAAAAAAACTAATCCTATACTTCCAAAATACCCCCACCCCCACCCCTCCACAGCAGCCTCTGCAGCACGAGTTTGAACCTCCCCACCCCCTCACAAAAAAGTCTGAGGCAGAAAAAGATGAGCAATTTTATTTATTTATTATTTTTTTTTTTTAAGATTTAATATTTATTTATTTATTTGTTTATTTGTACAAGCACTGGGTACAGTCAGAAGCGCGGGAGGCTCACCAGAGCCAGAGCAGGGAGCAGAGCAGGCAGAAGGACCGAAGTACACTGCTGAGGGGAGCAGCGGGCATGGCAGGAGAGGTCTGCGCGCCATGCGGGACCCTCCTCCGGTGGCCGGGGAGCAGCCGGGGATCGAACCGGCGCTGCAGAGGCTGCAGGCAGCTTCGCAACCCAGCGCTCAACCGCTGCGCCACCGGGGAGGCCCAAGATGAGCAAATTTAATTGGATTCTGGAATTTGGGGCCTTGTTTGTAGGCAGATATGAAGGTGTGATGGACCTGTCCGGTGATGCAAGGAGGTTGGCATTTGTCTAGATTCCAGAAGACCCTAGACAGAAACTCAGTTTTTGAAGGATTTTTAAGCTGGGAAATACCTTGTTTAAATTTAGGTTTCAAAACATAAATTTGGCTGGGGCATGGAGGATAACTGAAAGTTTAGGGCCCGGCTAGAGGGTAGATGCTTCTAGGATTGCTTCTTTCTGGGGAAGTTAACTTTAGCCTGAGGCAAAGTGGAGGCAGGAAGGTGGAGGCTAGGGGTCTGTCAGACTTCTGCCCACACCCACACCCCAACCCAGTTACCTACTTGCCTGGAGACCACCAGCTTCCATCTATAGCTTTCCTAGACAAGTCCAGAAAGGCCACCATTGTTCAGCTAGGTCCCTGATGCTCCATTGCGAGCCAGGAGTGCTTCACACTCTGACAACTTAGGCAAATTTGTTTCAGGACAAGACGATGAAACTGGGTCTCTCATCTATGGGCTTTGAAACAATTGTCCTAATTAATGCTACCAGCAAGCCTCTCTTCTTCCATCTCATTTCCCCTAGGTCTCCAAGAAGTGAAAGGGCAGATAAAACCATTCTAAGGGTTTGGCATTAAAGCAGATGTGGCAGAACCCAGAAACCACATTTCCGTGGGGCTACAACTGATCATATCCACATTCCCAAACCTTGGAGAGCAGTGAGTGAGGGTTCTCTCTTAGCAGATCTGGCTTCTGGAGACAAGGGCAGGGATGAGGAATATTTAGGCAAGATGGTCCTAGATTGCCTGGCCGGAGGCCCATGCCAGGCATGCATGTAGGGAATGTTCTAGAGAGCCCTCAAGTCCTCAGGGTTGGAGGAGGCAGCCTTCTCCAAAATATCTTTGCCTCCCAGTTTCTATGACAGGGACATGGTACCTGCTTCCTAAAGGTCTATTTACTAAATTAGCCAATACAGAAGCAGGGCGTCAGAAGAGATAGACTTAAAGCTGCTACTGGCACTGCCTAGAAGGGGAATGAATATATTTTTCAAGGAAAGTGGATTTGTGTCTCCTATGGGGAACTTGTGTGAAATTAGGAAAATGTATCTTTAGCTGTCAGCTTTCAAAATCCCTTTAAAATCCTTTGGAGCCTTTTCTGCTGGTAGTCATGGTGGTGGTGATTAGCAGTGTTTTGGGCCTGGTGGGCAGATGTGAGGCTGTGACAGGCCTGGAACCTAAACCTGGAAACTGGGCCAACTTCCCCAAAGCTTTCCCCAGGGGCGGGTGTGCCCACACAGGTACTGATGAGGGCCTCTCTCTGCCCCAGGCCTCTCTCTGCCCCACTATCCCACCCACTTCTAAAATCTCAGACAACCATAATAGCATTTATTCGCCTAGTTTTACTCAAAATACCTTGATTTTTGATGTTTCCTAACCTGATGCTGACATTTTTATTAAAAAAAAATCTTATTAAAGGCTGCTAAGCTGAAGGAAAAATACAAAAAGGATATTGCTGCCTACCAAGCTAAAGGAAAGAAAGCCTGATGTGCCCAAAACAGAGGTCAAGGAAGAAAAAAGCAAGAGGAGAGAGATGAGGAAGATGAAGTGGCCTCTAGCGGTTTTTCCCATTGTCTGTAAAGCATTAAATCCCCTGTCCTCACTCCTTTTATTTATGCATACAAGAGCTGAGGTACAGGCCAGAGGTGTGGGGGTGAGAGGATTCACCAGACACAGAGTGGGGCAGATTGACTGAAATACACTGCTAAGGGGAGCAGCGGGCAAGTCAGGAGAGGTCTGCTGTGCCGTGTGGGTGGCTCCCTGGCTGGGGATCGAACTCTTGTGCTGCAGAGATTGCGGACAGCTTCATAGGTTATGTCTTAATCCCTGGCGCCACCAGGGAGGCCCTGTCCTCATTCCTTTTAAAGGTCTGGTTACTAAATTAGCCAATACAGAAGCAGGGCTGCAGAAGAGACAGCCTTAAAACTACTGGCACAGGATTAAAGGAAAAAAACTGCAATGTAGGACTGTGTAAGATTGTTTTTAAATTGTAGTCTTTTTTTTGTATAGTTAACACACTATCGAGTAAGTCTTTAGACAGCCCTGTCCTGGCGGTATTTCAATAACCACTTGACTTTATCTGGTACATTATGGGGGTTGTAAATTGGCAATTTCCAATTAAATTGGAAATTTAAAGCAGGTTCTTGGGGGATGGCAAATATTCATCTTTAGTTGTCTGTCATGTAGCTATACGGAATAATTGAATACCACTGTAATTGAGAAAAAAAGTTGCAGGTGTTTTGTTGACATTCTGAATGCTTCTCAATAAACACAATTTTTTTTTAAAGATTTATTTATTTATGCATACAAGAGCGGGAGTATAGGTCAGAGGTGTGGGGGGTGAGAGGATTCACCAGAGACAGAGTGGGGAAAAGAACAGGCAGACTGATGGAAGTATACTGCTGAGGGGAGCAGCAGGTGAGTCAGGAGAGGTCTGCTGCGCCATGTGGGCTGCTCCCTGGCTGGCCAGGGGATCAAAGTCTTGCTACAGTAGCTGCGGACAGCTCCATAGGTTGCGTCTTAACCACTTGCACCACCAAGGAGGCCCACAATTTTTTTTTTTTTAATTTAAAAAAGAAAACAAAAAGAAACCTCAAGATGCTCTGACTGGTCTCACCCCTCCCCTGCCCCACAAACCCACCCCTGGGTCACTCCAGTCCTCCTTAATCTCCCCTGCTCTGAACTTCTGAACATTTCCCAATTACAAATATTTGACTTTATGGACTAAATGTATAGCTTTGACTTTATTTTTCTAACTAGTGAGATTCCTGAAGGTAAGTCTTTGTTTCCTGGGCAATTATCAGCACCAATCTGTGAGTAGCTAATCAATTACTGATTAGCAGAGGCCATTCAATCTACCAAGGTGGTGGGAGGGTCTGTTGGGCAAGAGCCACAACCTCAATCAGTTTATTTTTATCTTTAGGTTCTGGCTTTAACTTGTGGTTTTTCCAGAGCCCATGGGTGATCTTGAAGAACCCATTCTGGAACTTACATCAAGAGGAATTGGCAGAGGCCTAGCTGAGCCATGTCACATTTCAGGGCCAGAAAACCACTGAAGCTATAAGAAACACATACAGCAGCTTCAGTGGGACAGAAGCCAGGAGGCATAGAGGAATCCAGGACAAATGATCACAAGGCGTGTGAACACAGGCAAGCCACTTGACATCACCAGAACAATTGGATAAAAAGCAGTCTTTGGTAAGGTAGCCAAGGGTGCACTGGAACGGCTTCCCCAAGCACTACCTCTTCCTGCCAAAAAAAGCTTCTGCTCCAAAGCCAGCTTTAGCTTATTGGACTTGGGCTCCAAAACTCAGAATCTAGGACTAAGATTACATAGACATTACGCTGCTGTCGGCCGCCACCTTGTGGCCTAATTTACAACTACCAAGACCGCAATAGGTGGCTACCAGCACAAGACCACCTAGGTAGTTTAGAATTTATCACTCAGCTCAGGTGGCTCTTTATTGCCACCTGATGTCTTTACAATGCTTGGGTCTACAAATGATCCCCAAGTCTGTAAGATCCACTTTTTGCTACCAGTTTTGTTAGGTGAAAATACTTTACCTGGTGGTAAGGTTTGGTTGGCCCCCCCGGGTTGCTGTTGGTCCAGAGATGCTGCCTAATACTTGATACCTACCTCAACCTGCATATTCACTTGACACTACCACAGATGGCCATGGTTTGCTCTCTAAGTCAAAGTCCCCATCTCACCAGGCAAAGCCCGATAGGCAGGGCTGTGCAGGTCACTGTGCCACACTTGAAGTGCAGGCCCTGAAATGGTGTCATCCAATTCCTCTGGTGCCACTAAGATGGCACATGGCCCGTCCAAGAGATAGATAACTCAACACCCAGCTCTTATTACTCATGTCAAATGTGCAGCCTCTACTTTTTAAGGCCTCAGGAAAACTGGACAATTTTTCCTTTTCAAGGAGCCCTGGGATAGCATGAGTTCTAATTGGCCACCATTCTGATTTCTGTCATTGTTTTTTCTTCTGATTCATAGAAACCCAAGCAGTGAAAGCCAAAATTAGGAAACTGTTGACCTGAACACCATACTGGTGTTTCTTACCCATAAGTCAGTCAGTTATGGATTTGAAGAAAAGCATTTCCTTGGTCTTCTTAAATCTGACCTCCCCCCTCCAAGTGCTTCTCACTCCCACACAGCAAGCACAGAATCTCAACACCAGGACCAGAGCCTTCCTGCCCTGCAGAGCTGAGGCAGCCTGGTTGGTCTGGTGAAGATGCTCAGCTTTCCAACCACCTCCCACAACAGTAACCACACTGGACATGACTCTGCAGGGAGGAATCTGCTGGAACAAGGAGGTTCAAGTCAAAGCCAAGTACTGCAGGCTCTAATAGCAGTAAGTGATGTCACCCTGGATAAGGATAACTCCCCTAAACCAATCCAGTCTTGCCCAGTTTACATTCTGACCCTTATAAACCATTTCTGTTCAGCTATATAATGCCAACTAAATAGGAACACACAAGTTAATTTTTTCTGGCTACAGGTTTATTTAACACAAAACAATCTCCAACTTTACTGAGGTGGCTGACCACGTCCACGACCAAATCCTCCTCTCTGTAAGAGAAAAAGTGCATGACATCAGAGTTAGCAGTTCAGAGGTCTTCCAAACCAGAGGGTCCAGAGAGCACAGGCAGTGAACGCCAGCCCCGAGGCTACACTCACATTCTGAGTCTGTTTCCTCATTTGTAAGCAGGAATATGGCCACTTACACAAAGATTGTCTTTTATATGCACATGAAAATATCTAAAAAGGCCTCTTCACAGATGAGACTGAGATCATGTGCTGTGAAGACCTGTCACAGGATAAACCCCCTGTGCAGAGTACTTTACCTAGATTAACTGATGCACAATTACAGAGGCAGCTACAATCATCACCTCTATTTATATAAGTGAGAAATTAAGCCAAAGAGGGGAACCTGCCCAGGATCACACCATGTAATGGAAAAGGGAGGATTTTATTCTGGACCATCTTGGTTCTAGAAGCCCATTCAATCTCAAGTGCTCAGTTTTTGGTCATGAAACTAATGGAGGGGATTATAGCCTCACTAATGAAATATAAATACCACTATACTACATACATCATTGATTTGTATTTACAAAAGCTGCATCTGTACGATAATCTAAAGTGATCTGGTGTGGTTTTGTGGGAGATGATATGGGGTGGGACGCACCACACACTGCATCTATAAAACTGAAGAGAGCCATAAAATTTGAAACCATAATAGTGACTATACTATGTATGGAGAGTGAAAAAAAGGGATACTCACAAACTGGAATTCAGTAGCTGACCCAGCCCCAGCCTCGGCTTTTTTATCTGCACCAGCTAGAAAGAGAAACAATTTATTTTCATCACATTTTCCAATATACTGCAGAATGGAAGAAGTCACTTGAATCCAGTTTTGCGGGAGAAGTCACGCAGGCTGATGTACTCCTCATGAAGCAAAGTAAACCAAACCAACAGCAAAAACACTTTCTCAGTCACCCTTGCTCCTCCCATCTTTAAGCGATACGATACTTCCAAACTTGCAGTCCACACTGCCACCTCCTCCAGGAAGGCTACCCTGACCACGATACTCTTCCTATATGGCCCCAGAGGATTCCAGCTTCCCATCAGAATCACCAAATATTCCAGGTGAGCACCTGGCTTAGAAGGATCTTAAGAGAAGAACTAAGAGGTAAAGGACACATGGGCCCACAGAAGCAAAAGGGAACACGGGAAAGTAGCAAAAAAGATTCAAGTGCTGCTGCCCTGGAAGGCAAATTGAGATGCATACAAAGTACATATTAGATTTCAAGACTTGAGAGAAAATAAAATGTCTTCTTAATGTTTATACTGATTAAATAAGTACTTTTTAGATATGTTGAGCAAAAAAAATTTTAATATCCCCTATAATTTATTTCTACTTGCTCTAAGAGGAAGTGCTAGGAAATTTTACGATGCACACTATGGGCGGGGGAGGAAGGTGGACAATTAGTTTCAGTAAATCTTGTCAAACCAGGGTTTCCCTTTGACCCATTTCAGTCTACACTTACCGGAGGTTCCTTCATCGCTTACCTCCTTTCCCTGTTTGTAAGCTGTCCTCCCCATCCCTGTACCTTCCCACCAGAAACGCTCGCTCCACCTCAACTTAGGGATCTCTGTGGCTCAGGACAAGTGTCCTATCCTCCGGAGGACTGTTCCCTGACAGATCCCCCCACGCTGCATGACCACTGAATAAGAGAAACCACTTACTTTCTCTGAACTGAGAGCCTATTTGCTGGAGTCCCCTACACCACTACTATCCCCTACCATAATGCAGGCCTTGGGCTCACTTCTGTCACACATGATCAATCAGGAACGATGACAAAGAGGGAGACAAAGATAGGTATCTTTTTCTTTACTTTGTTTTGTTTGAAGTTTTGCAACAAAGACAAAGGGACTCTAAAAAACAAGCTGAATCATGTCTTTCTGCAAAACCACCAATGAATCCTGACTTAAGTGTAAAATTCTATGCCCTTATCTTTTGGGCTCAGGAAACAAAAACCTCACATCTGACTCTCCTGCTGGCTTCTATTGTTTAGCCAGATGCCCCTCTCACCTCCCTCAGGTGTTTGCTTGTATCTCACTTGTGCAAGACTTGCTTTGAAAACCCAATTCAAAACTACACCACCACCCCTATAGCACTCACACCATCTGACATACATTTAATTGTCCCCTTATTTAATAGTCTCTTACAAAAAATGCAAGTTCAACAAGAGCCTTTTTTTATGCACACTACTGCCTGCAGCTTCTAGAACAGCACTTGGCACACCACAGGCAATCAATAAAAATTTATTAGATGAAGAAACATCTGTTGTTCTAAGTCACTGCAAACCCCTGCTACTTAAAGGCAAGACTCTGTACTGTATTTTTGCACTAGGAACATGACAAAGGTAATTTGAATGGGTCCTGTCCTCAAAGAGCTTACAATACAGGAAAACACCAAACTAAGCTTTCCTGAAGCTTGCTTTTTCACTTTTAAGGTCTTTAAGTAAGTGCCCCCAGTTCAGAGGGCTTTCACCCCAATCTGCACCCACCAAACACTGCACAGGGCAAGCAGGGAGTCTTGGAACCAAGAATCCTTCCTGGTAACTTTGATATCCGCAAGTGCTGAGCCCCAGCCAGGGCTAACTGAGATTACAGATTTTATTCCCACACTCTTGGTATGTAGAACCCATTACTTACGGGGCACAGCGCTCCGTCTGTAGGTGTCTCTGTCAGCTTCCCCTCGATTTAGTCTTGCAGGCCGCTCACCCTCCAGACCTACACAAATGAAACCACACTGTGAACACAGGGCCATACAGGCACTGTTTTCTTCAGGCCAAAAAAAAAGGGGAGGGTGGGGAGGGAGAATTCTCGCTTTTTTTTTTTTTTTTAAAGAATGTAATTTTTATTTGCATGTCTCATGAGTGTAGAGCCTACCATTTATCCAGGGGGCTGTGATTTGGGATGTACTTGATCCCACAGGAATCTAGAATAAGCCACTTTTCAGCTACCATGTGTCCAATTGCAGTAAACTTGGTGAAGCCTTACTTCTTGGAAATATGGATTTCCTGGTGGCTAGGGAACTTGAACTTGGCTTTACCTAGAACTTCAATGACATGCTCCTTGCTTTGCAGCTTGGTATGGATGGACATGATGACTTGGCCAATGTAGACCCTGGCCACTTTGGGAACCTGGGGCTTCCCAAAGCCTATCTGTCTGGAGCTTAACATTGGGGACAGGAAGAAGGCAGACATGAAGGACCCCTAAAAAGGATTGTCTCCAAGGTCCCTTAGAGCAACCCATACAAGGAACAGGCCACATACACTACCAAGGAATCTGCTGTTTGCAGCCATTGCACACCGGGCCCCATGGGAAGAGGAGCACGGTCGGCTTAATTGGCTGCAGATGGAACCGATCTCTTATTCTCGCCAGGAAACAACTTGGTTGTATTAATAATAAGCGTAAGAGGGCCTCCCTGGTGGCGCAAGGGGTTAAGGGCCACATTAGGAAGCAATCCGCAGCACGAGTTAGATAACCCCCCCACCCTTACGCCCGCAACGGCCAGGGAGCAACCCACATGGCGCAGCAGACCTCTCCTGTCTCGCCTGCTGCTCCCCTCAGCAGTATGTCTCAGTCAGCCTGCCTGTTCTGTTCCCCTCTCTGACTCTGATGAATCCTCTCATCTCCCCCATCTCTGGCCTGTACCCCAGCTCTTGTATGCATATAAAAGTAAATCTTTAACAACAACAACAAAAATAAGCATAAGAACCTCCACATCTGGAACATTAGCATTTTGGCTCCTTGAAAATCCTAGAATATCTCCCAACTCAGTTAAAATGCCGCATATCTTCAGGACTGCTTTATTGTATTGTTTCTCCAACGCACTTTCCAATAACTTGGCAAATTAATAAACCTAGCCATTTCTACGAACATCTGAATAGACAAAACAATTAGATCCACCTCTAAGTGAAAAACTTCCTGTACAAATGGGAAAGAAGGCATCACTAGCTGAATGCCCCATCTCCAATAATAAGTACATAAAACACAGAGGCCACCAAGAAGCTGTTCTTCCCCATGGGCTCCTCCACATTATTAAGGCACTGATTCTTAAAAGCAACCTTAAAAATATCCTCATGAGGGTCCTCTCCAGTGGTGCAAGGGATTAAGTCGCAGTACTATGAAGCTCTCTGCTGCCACTGCAGCATGAGTTCCATCCCTGGCCAGGGAGCTACCCAGATGGCAGAGCAGACCTCTCTTGTCTTGCCTGCTGCTCCCTTCAGCAGTGTATTCAGTCAATCCACTGGTTCTGCTCCCCACTGTGTCTCTGGTGAATCTTCTCACAACCCCCACCCCTGGCCTGTACCCCAGTTCTTGTATGCATAAATAAGTCTTAAAAAAAGTCCCCATTAACATTGGAAATTTAATCTAGTATTTTCTTACCTATCTACCTTGAGCAGGTAACCTAGAGTCTGTATGACTAGGAAACAGGTTACCTTTTAAGCAGCAGAAGAAAGAGTGAATCTGCAATTAAGTGGCCAAATAAGTGCTAAGCCAACACCAGAATATGGGGGTACAGAGAGACAACAGCTACCCCCCTCCAAAGCAGTGCAAAGAAACTTTGCTCTAAAGATACAAAAACCTACCTCACCACCAGAATTCCCTATGCTTTTATTATAGAACCCAAAGCTTCATGAGGTCCCTCTACAGGGATACCTGGACAGTGTGACAATCACCGGTATTTAGGAATCTCTGCATTTTTGCATCTTGTCTTATCACCCAAGTCTACAAGATTACCATGACAAGGTTTTTTTTTTCCCTTAAAGAATCTAAAGAAACCACAATCTCGACAGGATACAGCTACAGGTCAGAAATGATCTATTCAGATGATAAATCCTCCCATATGGAAACATATCCTTCACACCATGATTACATGCAGATTCACTCTCCCCTACTTGACTTGATCAATTTTGGTTCCCACTGCCAAGAAACCATACATTTCATGCACATGGAAAGTACTTCTGTGCGGGACTTCTTGGGGGATAAGCTCAATGCCACTCTCCCAGGAAAGTTACTCAACATTGTACTACATATGTCTGGTCACAGATGATCATTCTATGTTTAATGCCATCTCCTGGGATGACTTGAAGACCCAAATCCTGTCACATTACAAGTCTCATGTCCTGGAGCAAAGTTTCCAGGACTGAGCCAAAGACTGCAGAATGGAGTCCCTTTAAAACTGACCACTTCCTTACCCCATAAACCAAACCCACTACCTCCCCCAGAAAAGCAATTTTAGAGTAGGCCCCTGAAGACATTTTGGCACCATACCTTTGGGTCGTGGCCTGCCAGTCTCAGGACGGCTGCGGCGCAGGGTGGCGGGCACAATTTCAGGGGGCAGATGGAGGTAATCACGGAGATACTGGATGCCCTCGTTGGTAAGGTACCAGTAGAAATGTCTCCAGGCAAACTGTTCTTTCACATAGCCTCGTGATTTGAGAGACTGTAAGGTGAAAAGTGGCCGTTAAGCCTTTAACTACTGGTTTGAAGCTAGAAACGTGGCACTGTGTTGCAGACAAATTTTTATGTTATGTCTACCTCAGTTGGCAGCAAGCATCTCCTACTATCTTGATCACTCCTTGAAATGTGCCTTGAATGTTTGTGGAAAATGTGTCCATCTGCATCCCACCCCAACAGCCCCCCTCACTACCTGCATAGCCTTCATGACATGAAGGTTGGGCACATTCTTGTCTGCCAGCTCAGGATGTTTAGGCATGTGGACATCCTTCTTGGCCACCATCACTCCCTCCTTAAAAAGGAGTTCATAAATGGCAATCCGGTTCTTCTTGGGCATCAACATCTGCAAAAAGGAAGTTCAGGAATAAGTCTGAGAAAGGAGAGCAGGGTAGAGTAGTCAAGTTCATGACCCCCAAGTGACCTTATAATCACTGTCCAATGGATTGAAATCCCACGCACACCCTAAACAAAAAAAAAAGCACGCAAGAAGGAGAAATTCAAACTCTGCAAAACTGAGACCCATCGGTGACCTTCAACCCCTCCCAAAATAGACCCCAGTTTGCGTAAGGACAGAAGTTGTCAATGTCAACACAAAGTGGGAATGGCGGGGTTACATTCACCCCCCCAGACCGGCACTTTCAGAACCACAAAGATAGGGCGCAGACCCTGTATTCTTATCTGGGAGCCGTCAGCGACCGTACCTACGGCGGCAGGTGCGGCAGGCTCCACTTTCACGCTTCCAGGTAAGGCCCAGGCGTAAGGCCGCGGTTCTAGACATGCCCCTAACCCAAGCCAAAGGACTAAGGCCGTCGCACACGCATCTCCTACTGCTTTTGCCCAAAAGCTCCAGGGCTAGTAAAGGGGCAGCCGGAATGAATTTCTACTCCGAAGTTAAAGCGTGCAGCTTCCCGTCTCCCCCGGGGAGCACCCGCCACGCAAGGGCTTCACACTGGCCCCTCCGCCGTGGTAACGCCAATCTTCGCCTACTAGTGTTCCTCCTGGCCCCCCGAATGCACAGTCAATCGCTCTCAATGCTCAGAAAGGGGCGTGTGGGAATAGGAGAGGGCACCCCTCATCCCGATCCCGAAGTGGGGTGGCGACTACCCCGATGGAATGGCCAGGATGGGGGCCGATGAAACTCGAACTTCTGAGAAAACTCACCGCGGCTGCTGCTCCGCTCGGGACCGGGCTGGAAAGGAAGGAGCATGCGCGGCGCGGCGCGGCGCGGCGTCTCTTCCGGGCTGGCGTGCTCCGCCCCTGCTAGGACCCGCGAGCCGTCTGGGGTGGCTTCGGCGGTGCCTGAGGGACCCTGACCGGGAACCCTGGCGGCCGGGAACCCTGACCGCCTTCTGGAAACGCTTGGCTAACTCCTCTAGGAGCTTTTGAGCCTCCGTGCTGTGTCAATAAATGGTCACTTTTATGATTGGATAGTCCTTTTAAGAGCGCTACTTCTTTATTTCTTGTTGGTCATTAAATTTATTATGCAAGTAGCTTGTTCTTTGAGCAGGGAAAAGGGAACAGATAAAATAACAGTGATAAGGAAGTAAAAACAGATCCCATCAACCAAAGATAATCGATGTTAACAGTTTGATATACAGTCTTTCAAACTCATATGTACCCCTAACAAATATATGTTTTTGAACAAATATAAGACGTTTTATGTGTACATTACGTATGATATGCTTGGTAGTCTGCTTTCCCCCACTCCCACCCTTTACCAATATATGAATCTTTTCACATTAAAACTTGCCATTCTGATGACTTCGTGGCAGTGCAATGACAAATCATTCAATCAACACTATGTGATTGGATATATATTTTTTTAAGTCCATCACTATTGTGATACCGGAATTGTCAGGCCTAGTCTTCCAGCCAGGAACAGATCCCAGGCTGCAGGGGCAATGCTGAGCCCCAGCTGCTAGACCCCCACGGGTTGGTGTCTCACGAAGCCGCAGCAGGAACTTCGCAGACGCTCAGGCAAGCAAGCGAGAAGAGGCAGCTTTGTTTAGAGAAAGAAAAAGTTTATTGAGGGGAAAAAGAACAGAGATAAAGTGGGACTCCCAGGCCAGGGAACCAGGCCTGGGAGGGGCAAGGAAGCCAAGTGTTGTGTCTCAGGGAATATATACCTTCTTTCCCTCATTATTCTAAAACTCCACCAGTCTCTTTGTGATTGGTTACTTCTCGGGGGTCTCACTTAATTTGCTACTGAGTGGGGGATCTTCACATTCCTTATCTAACAGCTTTCTCTTTCCCCATTTGGTGCATCTTTATCTTTATGGCCCAGTCTTCTGGATGGGCATCCCTGCATTGAAGTTAAACAGCTGCCCTTCTAATGTGTCCATAAATTAAACCACTCTCCATTTCTCCAATCTCTGCCTCCCTTTACCACCTGAAGGAAACCAGGACCAGTGTTAACAATGTTGTCTTTGGTCCTGAGATGTTTGTTTTTCCTAGTGGAATTGGTTACATTCCCTAGGTTGTCCTTATCTCTGAAGCCTCCCTAAATTCTTCAGATGTCCCCTCCTGCACTGTCCCTAAAACCGCCTAATTTCTAGCTTGCCTTGTGTCTCATAAGTAATAATGCCACACCCATATCTACACCCTTGCCCAGTATTTTCCTGGAAATGTAAACTTGTTGAGTAACAAAGCATACACCTTCAGGTTTTTCACACATGCCACACTGACTTCCAGGAGCGCATATCTAGTCAACAGTTATTAACAAGATTTATTTACCCATTAACCCTCAGACATTGGATAATATTCTTATTAAATTTTGTCAGCTAATAAATATTAATCTCACTGTTCTTTTAATTTGCTTTTGTGGGGCCTCCTTGGTGGCACAAGGGGTTAAATCTGAGCACTATGAAGCTATGGGCAGCCACTGCAGCACGAGTTCCATCCCCCACCAGGGAGCTTTATGTTCAAATTTTTTTAAAAAAAGATTTATTTATTTATGCATACAAAAGCTGGGGTACAGGCCAGAGATGCAGGGGTGAGAGGATTCAACAGAGGCAGGGCGGGGAACAGAACAGGCAGACTGACTGAAATACACTGCTGAGGAGAGCAGCGGGCAAGCCAGGAGAGTTCTGCAGTGCCATGTGGGTAGCTCCCTGGCTGGGGATCAAACTCGTGCTACAAAGGCTGCGGATTGCCTCATAGTGCGTTGCTTAACCCCTTGCGCCACCAAGGAGGCTCCTGTGTTCAAATCTTTTAGTTTCAGACTTTGACACAATGCTTGAAAAGCCACCCCACACCTCAAAATTATAAATATTCACCTATAGTTTTTTCATTGCTTAAAAATAAATATTCATTAATTTTGCAAGCTGGAAAGGGTTCTGAAGATTAGTTGCACAATATGAATTACTTAACACTATTAACCATACACTTAAAAATGGCTAATAGGGCCTCCCTGGTGGCCTAGAGGTTAAGTCTTAGCGCTATCTCCTTGAAGGCCTGAGTTCAATCCTCTGCTAGGAAGCTAACCCACCTCTGATGCAGCAGACCTCTCCTGTCTCGCCAGCTGCTCCCCTTAGCAGTGTATTTCAGTAAATCCACCTGATCTGCTCCCCACTCTGTCTATTGTGAATTCTTTTACCCACCCACCCTCACCATACCTCTGGTCTACAGCCCAGTTCTTCTATGCAAAAATAAATAAATAAGATCTTTGGGGGAAAGAAAATCATAAAAAAAGGCTAATAAATTTTATGTTGTATATATTTTCCCACAATTAAAAAAATAAGTATAGAAAACACAAAAGCAAAAACAAAAAAGTAAACAAGAAAAAAAAAGAAAAACAGACACAAAATAAGTATTTATAACATGTTTATGTAAATATTTCAAAAAGAAGTTTGACTATATGGACAAGGAACAACATAACCCAAGGACTAGTCAAGATTTGAAAAAGAATACGATAGAACCTCTAGCAATGAAAATTAAATGATTGCAATATAACACTTTCGGGCCTCCCCAGTGGCACAGCGGTTGAGCGCTAGGTTGCGAAGCTGCCCGCAGCCTCTGCAGCGCTGGTTCGATCCCCGGCTGCTCCCTGGCCACCGGAGGAGGGTCCCGCATGGCGCGCAGACCTCTCCTGCCACCCGCTGCTCCCCTCAGCAGTGTACTTCGTCAGTCTGCCTGTTCTGCTCTCTGCTCTGGCTCTGGTGAATTCTCTCACCCTCCCATGCTTCGACTGTGCCCAGTGTTTGTATAAATAAATAAAAATAAATCTTTAAAAAAAATAACACTTTTATTTATTTATTATTTTCTTACATTGTTGTTGATTTTAGATAGTATTTGATGTCTCCCCTTAGGTGTAGTCACTATAGTTCTCCCACCACTACAGCACCCATGAACAATCACCATAGTCCCCTGTGCTCTTCTCTCTTCTGTTTTGACCCTGCTCCTTCCTCCTTTCCTCCTGTGTGCCTCAGATCTATGATCAGCTTGAAAGTTTAGTCTTTGGTTTACATATATTACACCTCTAAGTGGTTGTGGGGTATTAGGTTGTTTTCATATCCTGGCTATTGTAAGTAATGCTTTGCTATTGTAAACATAGGAGCACAGGTTTCCTTCTGAATTAGTGTTTTTGTGTTCTTTGGGCAGATTCCTAGAAACAGAATTGCTGGGTCATGTGGTAGATCCATTTTTGTGTTTTGAGGATCCTCCACACAGCTTTCCATAGTGGCTGAACCAGTTTACACTCCCGCCAGCAGTGTTAGAGGGTTCATTTTTCAACACATCCTCTCCAGCATTAGTTGTTTCTGTTTTTTTTTTTTTTTTTTAATGTGGGCCATTCTCACAGGTGTGAGGTGGTATCTTATTGTAATTTTGATTTGCATGAATTATAAAACTTAATAAAAATAAACAATGGATTTGACACATTGAAGAGACATATCAGTGAAATGGAAGACAAGTGAAAAAAAATGCATAATATAGTCCAGAGATTAAAAGAGGTGGGATATTAGATGGAAAGTATAAGAGGTATTAAAGGTAGAGTGAGAAAGCCTAATATATGTCTAGGTGAAGTCTCATAAGGAAATAATAGAGGATGTGGGGAAGAAATATAGACTATTTTCCAGAATTATTGAAAGATAATATACTTCGGATTCATCGAGCTCACCACATTCCAAGCTGGATAACTAGAAACAGATCCATGCCTAAGCATATATAATAAAGTTTCAGAACATCAAAGACAAAAAAAAAGGCTTTAAAAGTAGCCAGCAGATAAACACAGTTGTGACTGCCAACTTCCCAGCAGGAACTCTGGGATGCAGTCAGCTGAAATATAGTCTCCCAGGTCTCTTTACAACAGCTGGAGCGATCATGCTACAACACAGTGTCACTCCCCTGCTTAGCCCCCTCCACCCTCCAATTACGCATATGCATTTAAGCCTGTGCACCACACTGGTGCACAAGATGATTTTGTAAATAGCTCAGGTTTCATTCTTTGGAGAGAGTCTGCAAGGCAATCATCTAAGGCTCTGTGAGGAACTAAGATAACTGAGAGAGAAGAGGATGAGGAGGGGAACCCCACAGCACTAACCAATTCACCCTTGGGTGATATTCCTATGGGTGTCTGTTGGGAAGGCCATCAAGAGTTGACCAGAGAGCTGGACTCAGGTGGTTGGAGGCTACTTGCCCCCAGGCCCTCTTCTGTTCTCAGAACTTATGCTATCCTTGCCTTTTTGGCCCCAGAAACTTCCCAAGAACATATGATTAAACTCATTTAAAAGCCTCTATATAAACTTAAGATTTGGCAGGCAGGTATGGTAAATTTTTTTTCTTGTTTTGTGGCCACCCAAGACAAAGCCTTTTTTTTTTTTTTTAAAGTTTTATTTTATTTAGTTATATAAGTGCTAGGTACAGTCAGAAGCGCGGGAGGGTGAGAGAATTCACCAGAGCCAGAGCAGGGAGCAGAGCAGGCAGAAGGACCAAAGTACACTGCTGAGGGGAGCAGCGGGCGGCAGGAGAGGTCTGCGCGCCATGTGGGACCCTCCTCTGGTGGCCGGGGAGCAGCCGGGGATCGAACCGGCGCCGCAGAGGCCGCGGGCAGCTTCGCAACCCAGCGCTCAACCGCTGCGCCACTGGGGAGGCCCCACCTGGGAGGCCCCAAAGCCTTTTAAGCAAGGTCTCTTGGTTATTAAAACTGCCACCTACCAATGTGGAGGTAACTACTTTTCCTTTGGCCTCTCCTCACCCTCCACGTCGGGGGCCAGTTCAGATC